GTTTAAAGGTACGTGACAGGGGAACATTCAGGTTCGCGAGAGGGACATAACCTCACTTTTTTTATATGAGAATGGGTAAGTGATGGGAAGGGGAAGACTCGGTCACGTGACTCCTGAACAATAATAACTTCATTCCTTTTTTATTCATTTTCGATGCAATATTACATTTCCAAATGAAAAAAACATTCTCACTATTATTTCCAAATTGTTCTACATCGATTAAAGTGAAATTTTATTAATTTCGGTCAATGTTTGCCAAGTATACGGTCCAACAGTTTTTTATTAATTACTGAATAACTATTTGTTTCCAAATTATGAAAAAACCTTTCCAAATTTTTCCAAATCATTTCCTAATGAGCTGTTATGTCCTCCCAGATGTCACTAGGAAAACAGAGCCAAAATTCGAATTGACGGATAAAGGAGGCAAGGAACGTTTCACAGCTGAAGCCCGGATGGGCAATCTAATGAAGTCCAATCCAATGAATAATTTATAAATCCTTGATTTCGATGTCAATTGGGATGAGGGTTTATTCAAACTTCATAAATCAAAACACTGAGTGCTTCGGGAGAGCACGTAAACTATTTATTCACTTAATCATTCACTTAATAATATTACAAGACTCTGAATATGATTTTAACTAGAAGATCTGATCTCTAAAGAGGGACTCGTCGAACTGATGAAACTTATCCAAAAACTGCCCTTCGGAGGGTCCCATAACTCCCACTCCATGCGTATTGTGCACGCATTTTCTTTCTCTCTAATATCATTTAAAGGTTTTACATGCTAAACTCAAAAAGTGGTGGGGAGTTGTTGGGCGAAACTATGACGCAGTCAACCGTCGCCAGCCACCCCCACTTATTTCTAGATTTTAAGACGCACGTGGGCCCGGCAAACAATGACGTTCNTTATGTTATTATTGACCGTAAACAAGCTAATAAACAAATATTCAATACATACAAGTGTGTAAAAATAATACGTTTTCAATCTGCATTATTTTATACTTCTGTTTGGTATAAAGAATTGAATAAACGTTTAAAAATACATTTTTTCCAAAATTTACTTAAATCCTCCAATAATTTATCGATCAATTGTGAGTCGTAATTAATAATAAGNGTATTTGCATGTTTTTCAAATCCATTAAATAGTTATATTTTATTATTTTTCAAAATTTTTGATAATTTTTGGAAAATTTTTTTTTTGTTTTTATTCATAAATATTTAAACTATTTTATAATTAAAAAATAGCTATAATTCAAACACGAACAGGTAGCTCCCCCTTGCGTATGTGACGTCATTGTGCATATTCCANATTTGCGCTATATATTTCATTGATACTTTATCATAATTATTAGTATCAATATATGTACGAGCACTTTTGTCAGACGTTGGGCATTTAATTTCAATAACAAATTCGTCGTCAATAGCATCAGGCGAGGCTCCCAGNTAGCAGTTGTGATTGTCATTCGAAGAAAAACAGTTTTAAAAGCATAAACATAAACTTTATAATTTTTTAATATGTCATTAAAAAGCAGTGATTGTTGGTGTATAGTACCAACATGTCAAAATACTGGTAAATCTAATCCAAATAAAATTTTTATAAATGTTCCATCAAATAAATTAAAACGAAAAATGTGGTTAGGTGCATGTGGAAATAAAAGTGATTATTCTGTATCAAGTCAACTTTATTGTTGTGAAGATCATTTTCAAGTAAGTAATAAGAAAAATAAAAAGAATCTGTTTTTAATCAAATTCTAGTTAGAAGCCGATATGGAAAATTATTTGGAGTGGACAATGATTGGTGGTTACAAACGGATGAAAAATGATATTCTGCCACATAAATGCATTGAAGAATCAAAGCTCATAAACGTAGAAGCTTCACCAATGGAAGTAGATCAGCAAAGTCCGGAGAAATCCGGCTTCAATATCAATGATGGAACGATAGGTAAAAATTCAAGCAATACAATCGATAATATGGATCTGGAATACATGGATATCGTCAATTCTACTCCATTTCAAGATTTAAATACCAGTGCATCTAATGTTTCTTATGATAATTTTCCTCCTCAAACTACAAAAGTTAATGCTGCAATTCAGGTCAAGATAAGAAGTTCTTATAGGAGTACACAAGTTCAGTGTCAACCTCGAACAAAAGACCGTGCAACATCTCCCATTGAAATATTCTCTGGAATAAAAAATTTGGATAACTCGTGTTCTTCATCAATTAGTAATAATCAAATAATGAACACATCTAACACAACAGTAAGTTCATTCCCAAATTCTTCAGATAACGTTTTGTCGACAAATCCCAGTACTGAAAATGAGTGGAAAAGTCAATATCAACAAGAAGAATAGCAAAAGTTAAATTTAAAACAAACTCTTCAGAAAATTCAACAATCGCCTCGCAAATATATCGGTATTCCAGACGACTGTATGGATATTATCGATATTTTATGGACTGGTAAATTAAGTGACATTGAAATCTTTCTCACGTTAAAAAAAATAAGATTAAATGAAAGTTTTGCTATTTTAGCTGATGATTTTGGGATGTCTACTTCTAATATAAGTGGTACATTTACTAAGACTTTGCCAATCATAAACGAGTATTTGAAAGATTTGATTATTTGGCCTTCGTCTGCAAAAATCAAACAACAATTGCCAATGAGTTTTAGGAGTCGCTATGCCGCAGTAGAATCGATCATTGATTGTTTGGAAATTGAAATTGAAAAACCAACAGACCCAGTAAAACAATCATCGACATGGTCTGAATACAAGAAATGTAATACTGTGAAATATTTAGTATCTTGTACTCCAGATGGTATAGTTAATTTCATTTCACCAGGATTTGGTGGTAGAGCATCTGATACAGAAATAGTATCAAACTCTGGATACTTGGATTGTTTGAAACCAGGTGCAGCTGTATTAGCAGATAGAGGTTTCAAACATATTGAAAATTTAGTAGTTTCAAAAAAATGTGCATTATAATCGCAAGCCTTCGTATCCACATTGAAAGATTGATAAGAAGAATCAGAGAATTTCATATTTGTGAACCTCATTCATGTGTTAATGTTAAATTGATTCCTCAAATGGATAATATTATTACGATCGTCGCAGCTTTAACAAATTTACAAGGACCACTGATAAAAAAACATAAATCATATAAGGGATTAATTAAAAATATTAGATAATTTTTTTTTTAATTATGTTATTATTGACCGTAAACAAGCTAATAAACAAATATTCAATACATACAAGTGTGTAAAAATAATACGTTTTCAATCTGCATTATTTTATACTTCTGTTTGGTATAAAGAATTGAATAAACGTTTAAAAATACATTTTTTCCAAAATTTACTTAAATCCTCCAATAATTTATCGATCAATTGTGAGGCGTAATTAATAATAAGAGATTTAAATGCTTTTATATCTTCAAATTTTGGGTCTGCAACAATAAACATCGCTTTTCTTCTTCCGGCAAAAAGCATTTGCATTTGCATTTGCGCTATATATTTCATTGATACTTTATCATAATTATTAGTATCAATATATGTACGAGCACTTTTGTCAGACGTTGGGCATTTAATTTCAATAACAAATTCGTCGTCAATAGCATCAGGCGAGGCTCCCAGATAAGGATATTTTTCAGATAAAAATAAACCACATTTTTTAAACTGTTTTTCCACCTTCTATTCAACTTGTTGTAAAACCATCGCTTCTAATTCTTTGCCTCGTTCCACAGCTTTTGTACTCCGCAATTTTTTACCACCAACTAGCAACTCCACTAGAACTCCATCCGGTAGTATTACAACGTGATGCTTCATATGCTTTTGATGCAGTAATTCGCCCGTATCGCAATGTAACCCAGAGCTCACAGTTTGCTTGATCCTGGTGATTTTTTCAATACGTTCACACAAATCTTTCGACATTCGACATTTACTGAATGTTACAAATTCCTCATAAGATGTTCCTCCTTCATTAATAAAATTTACTAATAAATTATGGATCGAAAGACTTTGCTCGTTATNGTGCATGTGGAAATAAAAGTGATTATTCTGTATCAAGTCAACTTTATTGTTGTGAAGATCATTTTCAAGTAAGTAATAAGAAAAATAAAAAGAATCTGTTTTTAATCAAATTCTAGTTAGAAGCCGATATGGAAAATTATTTGGAGTGGACAATGATTGGTGGTTACAAACGGATGAAAAATGATATTCTGCCACATAAATGCATTGAAGAATCAAAGCTCATAAACGTAGAAGCTTCACCAATGGAAGTAGATCAGCAAAGTCCGGAGAAATCCGGCTTCAATATCAATGATGGAACGATAGGTCAAAATTCAAGCAATACAATCGATAATATGGATCTGGAATACATGGATATCGTCAATTCTACTCCATTTCAAGATTTAAATACCAGTGCATCTAATGTTTCTTATGATAATTTTCCTCCTCAAACTACAAAAGTTAATGCTGCAATTCAAGTCAAGATAAGAAGTTCTTATAGGAGTACACAAGTTCAGTGTCAACCTCGAACAAAAGACCGTGCAACATCTCCCATTGAAATATTCTCTGGAATAAAAAATTTGGATAACTCGTGTTCTTCATCAATTAGTAATAATCAAATAATGAACACATCTAACACAACAGTAAGTTCATTCCCAAATTCTTCAGATAACGTTTTGTCGACAAATCCCAGTACTGAAAATGAGTGGAAAAGTCAATATCAACAAGAAGAATACCAAAAGTTAAATTTAAAACAAACTCTTCAGAAAATTCAACAATCGCTTCGCAAATATATCGGTATTCCAGACGACTGTATGGATATTATCGATATTTTATGGACTGGTAAATTAAGTGACATTGAAATCTTTCTCACGTTAAAAAAAATAAGATTAAATGAAAGTTTTGCTATTTTAGCTGATGATTTTGGGATGTCTACTTCTAATATAAGTGGTACATTTACTAAGACTTTGCCAATCATAACCGAGTATTTGAAAGATTTGATTATTTGGCCTTCGTCTGCAAAAATCAAACAACAATTGCCAATGAGTTTTAGGAGTCGCTATGCCGCAGTAGAATCGATCATTGATTGTTTGGAAATTGAAATTGAAAAACCAACAGACCCAGTAAAACAATCATTGACATGGTCTGAATACAAGAAATGTAATACTGTGAAATATTTAGTATCTTGTACTCGAGATGGTATAGTTAATTTCATTTCACCAGGATTTGGTGGTAGAGCATCTGATACAGAAATAGTATCAAACTCTGGATACTTGGAGTGTTTGAAACCAGGTGCAGCTGTATTAGCAGATAGAGGTTTCAAACATATTGAAAATTTAGTAGTTTCAAAAAAATGTGCATTANCTTTTGTACTCCGCAATTTTTTACCACCAACTAGCAACTCCACTAGAACTCCATCCGGTGTATTACAACGTGATGCTTCATATGCTTTTGATGCAGTAATTCGCCCGTATCGCAATGTAAACCAGAGCTCACAGTTTGCTTGATCCTGAGTGATTTTTTCAATACGTTCACACAAATCTTTCGACATTCGACTTTTACTGAATGTTACAAATTCCTCATAAGATGTTCCTCCTTCATTAATAAAATTTACTAATAAATTATGGATCGAAAGACTTTGCTCGTTATTTACATCATTGAAGTATTTTAAAATTTGACTCTGTACAGATTTTTGATTTGTTCTTTTTACAAATTCTTCTAATGTATTAAAAGGTTTGTTCACAGCAGTAACTTCTTTATTAGAGGCAAAATCTTTTACCATAATAAATTTTGTTGATGATCCAACTTGAGATAGAACTGATTTTCGCCAATAACATTCAATATCTGTCGGTGAAGGTTCTTCCGATCTCCTGTGTAACCACATTATGAAAGCGATCGAGTGCTTGCATCCACCTAAGGAAGAAAAAATAATTAATTTGGAGGTCTTTCATTTTTGATCGATTTTTTTTTTCGTTTCTCGTATTGAACAATAACATTTACCTGACGATGCGGCACAATCATGACATTGGATAGACAAAATCTCTTCCTCAACAATGTCTAAAACGAGAGTCACTCGATATGATTTATTGTGTAGTCTGTGCTCAGTACAAATAAGACATTTAAGAGTACATTCTGATCCATGAAGTTTTAGTTGTACGAATTCAATAGCAGCATCTCCATATAATTTTCTCCCAGATCTACATTTCAATATATTTATTTTAATATTTCGCCTAGTATTTTTAATCTAATATTTCAACTTATGTACTTTAATACTTGTTGTAGATTAAAAATTGACTGATATTTATAATTTTTTGGATTTTTTTCAATCTCAGAATCTCACTTTAAAAAAGAAAACCAAAGAAATGACTGGTGGAATTTACTATATAATTTTATTTTAAATTATTATTTATAACAAAATCCAAAAATTATTAAATAAAGACTACATTCAGTGTCATGAAAAATTTATACGTACAGGTTAGCTTTTGCTCCTTGCATTTTTGCTGATACAAAATCGGAGTTTGTAGCTAAGTAGGATGCGACAGTAAAAGCATCAACTCGTGGTAAATTATCTGATCGAGCTTCACTGAAACCAGGATCTACTTTTCTTCGAGGCATTTTTATTTCTTTTTAATTATTTATTATTCATTGACCGTGCACATGTATAACTAGTACCACTCAGCATGTTGTATATTGATATAGAGTGTGTTCATAACCTCTATACTAATATTCTTGTCAGTTTTTGAAGTAAACATTAGTATGAAATTTATTTCAATTTTTTTTTCTACTTTCAGTGAATTTTAGTCTTAATAATAGAATATAATAAAATTCACTGTAAATAACAACGAGCGTGAAATTTTTTCCAACGATTTATCGTCCGTCACTTATCATGCATTCAAATAACGCGCTAAAATATACACGTCAGACCAATCGCGTCACGTATCACGTCACGTGATTTTTATACCACGTTTATTTATTTAAAAATAATTTGTTAAAATTAAATTTCAATCTTATTCAAGTATTTTATGGATATCAAAGAATTGATTAAATTAATTTTATGTGCAAAATCATTTTCATGCAAATACCCAATTGGATTTTTAAAAGAGATGTCATTGTCCGCCAGAGCACTTGTGTTCAGCTACGCAGTATCAATAAGAATAAAATAATTAAATTATCAATCGAATTAATCTGATCATATTGGAATTTAAATTGACCGCCAGGTGCGCAACGCCACCTAGTTACGAACGGCCAACGACGTAACCAGAGATAATAGGGGAGATTGCTCAGGCTTATGGAATGTTCGATCAGAGTATCATAGCGGTGGCGCGCATGGACTAATCGAGAGGCCGTCTCTGTGGGTAAAGAAATTTTCATCTATTACCATGGAAACAGTCGATAACAGGGATGCGTTCCCGATCTTAAATCCAACATGAAACCTCCTTTGCATTCACTCATCCGCTTGATTATCCCATTTTCGTTCATACAACATCTTATTGTCTTAATTTGTAAATTAGTTGATCATAAAGGAGAGGGAGAGAAGGAATTATGAAGTCTTGAGCGAAAGAGGATCATTTATTTGAATTTCTATACAACTAGATCTTTAATAAAAAAAAAATACGAGCAATTCATCTTATTCACATTTATTACATATTTTGTCAGTGATACAAAGGTAATGAATGAATTTCAAATTATTTTGATGAGAAATATATTCAATATTTGTGAGAGATTATATCTCAACAAATCTCATACACATAATGGGATTAAATCAATAATAATAGATTAACGAATGAGACTTTTCGCAGATTATTGCGAGATTTAAATGAATGGTTTGCATTCTTCAGTGACCATAAAAAATTGTCTCCAATCGACAATATCTCCCGATGGAATGGAACGATGTGAAT